CAGAATCGTCTCAGCAGCCACCTGGGGCAACTTGGGACTCTCAATCCCTGAACCCTAAACCCTGAAACCCTAAAACAGCAAAGACCTACTGGGAGCAGCTGCCTCGCGGTAGAAGGCATCTAAGCTTTGGCAGTGTGGTGGGCCCTTCTCCATGGCCTCCAAGAAGAGAATCTACAGTAGTACCCTAAGTAGTAGGATCCCTATTCTAAGGACCCCAAAGTAAGGTACCCCCTATCTTCGGAAACTTTCACAGAAAAGAATCTAGTACCCTAAGTAGCAGGATCCTTATTATAAGGACCCCAAATTAAGGTACCCCCTATCTTCGGAAACTCCCACAGAGAGCTAGGAGCTGAAGCCAGAGTTTGGCGATTCCTCCGCCGCCTTCACCAGATGCGTTGCCAGGGACGCTGCAGTATAGGCCCCACCGGAGACGGAAGCCAGATGGAGCACACCCTGCAACACACAAACACCCCCCCCTTCGAATTCGAAGCTCTAGGCGCGATGGGCAGCAGATCGCCCGGCCTTGAGCAGCCCCTGGCTACCTCAGCAGACACAACCTAAACAGCTGGAAAAAAAGGACACGAGAGGCCTGATCTCGGAGTCCAAGTTCCACCGAGGAACTTATTGCCCATAGGAGTCCACAATGAAAGGCAGCCGCTCTCACGCCACCGCCAGAGAAGGCGACGCCTGCATTGAGGATCACCGCGCACGCAGGAATGCTGTTGGAACGCCGTGCGGTCAGGTCTTGAACACTAAACCCCTAAACAAAGCTGTAATGATGCCGATCCATGAAGCCCATGAAAGCTGGAGACATACGTTGGTGGGATATAAGCACCACTGCTTTTGCTGCAAGGGCTACCTGGCCCGACCCAAAACTCCAAAAACAACCAGCTACTGACAGACAGACAGACAGACAGACAGGCAGGCAGGCAGGCAGGCAGGCAGGCAGGCAGTCAGGCAGTATGTTGGACAACGCTGGCCAGCTATTCAGCTCCCGCCGAAGCAGAAGCTGCTGACTTCCATTCAGCCAAGTCAATCACTGGCTCAGTTGAGGCACTCCTTTCCAAGTCCACCCGCCCTGCCTAGTGGGACCCGCTGTTCTTGAAGCTCCTGCTGACAACCGCTCCGCGCTTATGGGTATCAAATATTCAACTGGTTACTTAGTGTTCATAGCTGTTGCCAATGTGTATGCATATACATACACACACACACATATATATATACATAAAATTATTTTTGTTAACTCACACTCGCGGCTGTGTAGGACTCCAGCGTCGTTGTCGTCATTGAAACACCGAAGCTAAACAGCAAAGCCACTTAATAGTTTGAGAGCCTCATGAAACACATGGTGGGATTCTTCTTGTCTCCGGATCCCGAGATAGAGGCACCCCCCAAAACCCTAAACTCTAAATCCCTCATAGCGACCCTTGTAGCGAAAAGCCCCGTTGAAGGATCCCCAAATGGAGGATCCCCAAATCAGGTAGGCTTATCAGCTTTAAGGTACTTCCCCTAAATAGCCCTAACCCCTAAAACCCAACACCCCTAAACCCCTAAACCCTAAACCCCTCAACCCTGAACAGCCCTCTATAACCCCCCCCCCCCATGTCGCCATCCTGGGGGTGATGAAGCTGCAAATGCTCCCTCCGGCGCTTCAGGAACTCAGCCTGCAAAAGGAACTTCCAGAAATCCGGGATGGAGGCTCTGCTGGCATTTTTTAGTAGTATTGATTATAGTAATAACACTGAGAACAGCCTCAAACGTAGTAGAAACAGCTTTAAGAATGAGGGGAAGAAGGCTGTTTTTTGTAAGGCTTCGGGTGTGGCTGTTTTGTTGGCAGGTCGTAACTAGGGTTGGGGGTTTCAGGGTTTGGGAAGGGGCCGAGGGTTCAGGGCCTAATGGCCAATTGATTGCAGTGATTTGTTCAAGGTCCAATCATCGAAAATCAAGCAGCCATCCTAAAACACTAGACCTATTTCAAGCTAACCAAAATCCCCAAATCCCAAACCGGAAACCCCAGGCAGGGACCTTTACTGCACCTGAATAGGCTGCAAACCTATCCGTTTTGGGAATGACTCGACGTTGAGCTATTTCCCGTATCCGTTCAATGCGATGCCTCCCAAATCAGCGCATCAGCCTCCGACGCTGCCTCCAAAGGAGCGCCAGGCACTGAAAGAGCAGCGCAAGCACGCGCACTGTGGTGTTAGGCTCCGCCTTGGTGTGATCCCTCGGCAGTGTGGTATCCTTGCCGGAAAAGAAGCAGTAAAAAATCTCTCTCCGAGCTCTCCGAGCTCCGGCCATGGCCCGGCCTCGATGGGATGAGACGTTGCCGAGGTGAGAGTCGTGTTCCGCCGCACAGAAGAAGCCTGGAGGCTGCAAGGCGGGATTAGGGTTTAGGGTGTAGGGTTTAGGGATTGGGGTTTAGGGATTAGGGTTCAGGGATTAGGGGTGCACTCTCCGAATCCGCAAGAAACGACTCCGGCCTGACCAGCGATGTCAGCATGGCTGGTGACGCTGGCTCCCAACTCCATCATTCACGAGGTGTCGTTCCGCTGCTCGCGGCAGTTGCCGGAAAGCTTCGTGTTGTCATGTTGTGCTACACTACCCGGTGTCATGCCACATCCTCTCGCACCGGCATTTGTTACATGATGTGGTAAGAAAGAAATGCCGCCAGCTTTGGCAACATTGAACGTATCTGCTGTCTCCCATGGCCCTCCCTCTCTCAGACTTCATGACCCCTGTCGATCCGAAAACAAGAAAGCAGTAGACGTCTGCATAGAGCCAGCACCGGATACTTAAAGATGTGATATGCAAGACCCCGCAGTTTAGCGGCCGCTTGACTAGCAAGAAAGTCTCCTTTTCTGAATCAGCGCATCAGTCGTACAGCATCATGCTTTGCTCCTGTCAGAAGTATATCCAACACAACGGCTCCAACCTATCGTCCCGGCAGGTAACTACCCAATGCTGTTCTGTGTTTCAATGCTTGCAGGTCAGTCATGCCCATGTCTGCCATTGCCCATGTCACATGCGTCGCTCGTCACGCAGATTCTGAACATCGTCCTCCGTCCACGACAGCTCTACCGGCTTGGAAACCTGACCAAACTCAGACAGGATCGGGATGCCCTTCCCGGCTTTGAGCAATGCTCCAACTGCCAGCGCTTGGATGTTGGCATAAGAGGGGTTCACAGCACTGAAGGAGGTAAGACCTCAAAGTGAAGCTGGCGATGCTTAAGACACATTCACACAAATGGCGCGCCATCTCGCTCTTCTGAGCGCCGGGCACTTGACGTATCTTTCCATGATCAGCCAGTTCCCCATACTGCCAGAATAATCGACAATAAGGCTACAACAATCGGCAAGCCTGTGGTAGCGGGGAATAGGGTTTATTAAGGGCTTAGGGAACAACATGCCAATCATATAATAATATCGTGTTATAGTAATACAATAATATAATAATATAAAATATAATGATATAAGACTGTAATAATATAATAATATAATATTATAGTAACAGCTCAGGGAAGGCCTGTACTCTGACACCGGCGACTCCAAATTGGCGACCTCGGGACCGCTGGCCGTCGCATCGCTTTGAAAGGGTTTTGCCTGCGGCTTAGAAGGACTTAGGGGTTTTGGGGGGATTTAGGGGTTTTGGGGGGATTTAGGGGTTTTGGGTGATTTAGGGGTTTTGGGGGATTCGGGGCAGTCATAGTTACTGTCATAGTTGCAGTGCCAGCTGCAGTGGTTGCTTCAGTGGCCATGGCAGTGGTTCTCCGATACGAGTACGGGTATCCTTACCAATGCCTGCATGCATGCATGGGCGAGCGGGTGAGTTGGTCTACAAGCCTGCGTGTGTGTGTGTGTGCATCTGTGTATGCAGCAGCGCTGATGCGGAGAGAAAAAGCAAGACGAACAATACATGAGGGACTGGTAAATGTAGCTCTTCGAGCTCCCCGTAAGTTGACGAGCTACGATTTCCCCGTTGCTTTACAAACCGGGCTACGGGCCCGTTGCCAGCAGAGGTGGCAGTGGCAGTGGAAGTGGCAGAAGTAGCAGTAGCAGCAGCAGCAGCAGCAGCACCAGTAGTGGTAGTACTACGACTACGACGACGACAACGACGACGACGACGACTACTACTATTATTAATAATTAATACTAGTACTAGTATTAGTAGCAGTAGAAGTAGAAGTAGTAGTCGTCG